TGTGCCAGGCACCATGATAGAACCTTTAAAATTGTCTCATTTGATCTTCACACCCCTTAACTATTTTGTAGATTAGAAAATGGAAGCTCAAAAAAGAGTAACTTTACCCAATATTTCACAACTAGTAAACAGCAGAGTCTTGATTCAGATTTATATCTGTTTCCCATGTCCACGCTCCCTCTGATCCATGCTCTCTTATTCAGGTTAAATGGATCTAATGAAATTAATTGAACTGTGCTATAAAGGCAAAAGCACAGACTCAGAGAACGTTAGTACTAAATGAGATCATAGAAATTATTGAAGTATAATCATCCTTTTAAAGGTGAGGAATTGAATCCCAAACAATTAGCCTAAAACTGTACAAGTAATTTGCATCTGTTTTTAAAGAGTTAATTTTACTCAGCTTTTTAATATGTAAAATTATTCCAGGATGTCATGATAGTCTGTGGTATAAATTTTAAGCAACCTTTATACTTAACGCTGCTCCTAATCAATCTAGCCAATGTTGATCTCTAATATCTGCTAAACTTAACAGTAAGAAAGTCTGATGGTTATTAAAAGCGAGTAAGTTCCAAATTTTACTGATCGGTACTTCCAATGGTCTTGTAAAGAAAAGACTATCTGGCACCATGCTTATCTGTGTGCACAGAGGTATGACTGTGATTTGATTTTATCATAATTCTTCATGTTGAAAGTGTAAGTACAGAACCACTGAATTTGGTAATTCTCTAATTTTTGCCATTTTTCTATTATTAGAAATCTAAAATAAGATGCAATATTTTCAACTCCTTAGGTGTTATTTAATTTGCTTGAATATTCAATACTTGTGAATTATGAAATTAAACTTTTGCTAGTGTGTTGTTAAAAAAATTAAGCAAAAACATTTTTAAATACAGAGATAGCCAATGATAAGATTGATGCTTTCAAATGCACCTATGTGACAATACAGTTCAAGGTTTTTTTACCCTGTTTTGTGCTTTCTTCAGGTATATTTAATTATATATGCAGAACAAATCTTCAGAGAGTGAATGTGAAGATAGAAATTACAGTTTAGTCTAATGAAACTCAGTGTTAACTTGAACTATGTATGCAGTGATACATCTCTGCACAATTGTGGAGCTTAATTTAAATTCAACTTAATTTTAATGTCAACATTTTTAAGTACTGCAATAGGCACTATTGTGAACTCAAGTTAGAACAATCAAGTTGTAGATAATGACACAAAGGACTTAAAAAATCACAATTAAAAACTGATTTTATCAATTTCATGTTATGAAATCTAAACAAAGCTTTTGAAA